TGATTAAATATAATGAGAGGGCTTGACTGTAGTGCCAGATGCACCTAAGAATGACAAGGTTGCTGCATTGTTCTAATGAACTGATGTGCTGTTTATTATTCAAGCACTTTGTCTCTTACAGCAGCTCTGTACAGAGTGCTTTGAGAAGTGAAGAAGGACTCTAAGTACGTAGACTTGAATACCAATATTTATCTCATGTTTTTGTGCAGCTGTGCCCAAATTTGTATTGAGTTTGAGTTCTGAAAACAAATGGATAGCCTTGTATTCAGAAATAAAATCTCCTGTGTGTGCTTTACATCTTCGGCTTTGGCAACTTTCTGCTGAAATCATTATTTCACTCTTCATTCCTTTACTGTATTTTGAAGTCTGGAGTAACCCTACATTATCTTTTTGTTACTAAAACAAACTCACACCACCGGTATCCTGTGAGATATCACCGTATCAAGAATAACTGCCTTACAAGTTTTAATTACCTGATTATTGATAGGAATCATTGCATTTTTTTAATATTGCCATTAAATGACTAATAACTGAAAGGGAGATGAAATATCAAGTATGTAAAATCAAATTTTACCCATATAGAGAATGTTCCTGAGAGGTAGAAGATTATGAAATCCTGAAAAATCCAACATACTTATGCAGAAAAATAAGAAGTGGAAATAGACTTTGCAGAGATAGATCTGGAGCAGTTGTGTGTGGTTTAGTTTGACTATAGCTATGGGAGAAAAAAATAGAAAGACAGGTATCATTATTAACAGCTCTGTTTGTTTTGTCAATTTTTAGAAGCTTCCAGACTGCATATCTCTTACACAGTAACAGGTTCATATCCATATTCTGTGTATGTAGACCTGTGAGTATTAAAGCTTGGCTTGAAAAATCAGTATTGGAACCTCAAGAAACATATTAAATTGTATTTTTATCTCTAGTCTATAGGAATGGCAGAGTCTGGTTGTAACAAGCCTAAATAACATTGCTGCTTTCCCGTGGTCAACAACACAGCTCACTTCTGAGAGTGTTATGTTATGTAGTTCAGCTTTGCATTGGGTAATGAAGAAGCTACTTTTTGTTTCCTATCCCCGTTGCCCACACAGGCCACAAACACTGTTTTCCTTTTCCCTGTTCCTGCAGTTCTATAGCAGTGCTTAACCAACAAGACTGAAAGATCACATACATATGGCTGAAATGCAGCCATCAGAATGGTGCCTAGTTGTACAGCCCCACTGCTGCATATGCAGCAGCGGTGAAGAAGTGCTGACAGCAGATGTGACATGCTGATGCTGACAGATGTGGGATGTGACAATGAGCCAGGCAACAATCACCCTGCATGCATTGTTACTGAAAGTTTCTTCTGTCTGTTTCTCACTCCAGCAGGACATCATGTTTCTGTTCTCTGTAGTAGCAGAAGAGTTTTCATAAGGAAAAAGGACACGTTGCTTTGCTGCTTGCTAACCTCTCAACTCTCTCAGTCACAGGCCAAAGGAGCAAAACTGCAAAAAATTGTGTTATTCAGTGTAAATGGGTTTCAAAGGGGTTAAGCACTGTGGGCCATTGAATTGTCATAATTCTCTCAAAGGAGGAAGGAGTGAGATAAGTGTGTGAAGCAGTAATACCGCAGTAAACCACAAACACACCAGTGTTCTCTGCAAGGAGGTGCCTCATCTGTGGCAATCTGCTAAAACTTAGCCACTGACTCTGGCCATCCCCTTGGCTCTCAGCAATCCCTGAACTCTCTATAGATACAAAAATATAAGGAATAGAGATTAAAAACTGAACAGAAGTGATTCCTGTAGAGACCAGGAAGACACCACAGAAACTTCAGGGAGGATGAAGACAATTTAGGATTTAAAGAAATTTTGTTATATGATGACTAGTAGGGAACCAGCCAAAGGAAAAAGAACTCGTGTTAATGATCAGGGATTTCCTGTACACCTAATTCCAGAGGAATTTCCTTATTTTGTTTCAGGCAGCTTTGGTTTCATATTCTTCACTGATTTATATAGACACACCGAGAATTATTTCATAAAATCATACCAGAGTGGTTGTTAGGTACTTGTTTATATTCACTTTGAATACAAATGTAATACTTCTGCCAATAATGAGATATTTGTTGACGTTGAAGAAAGAAAAAAAAAAAAAAAAGAAACAGACAAAATTATGTAATTTTGAGACATATAATTAACAATTGCAACCATATCTTACTCCTCGTAGCTTCACACCAGTGCATTTTATCAATAACATCTAGGGCAACAGTTTTTGACTAAAAGCCAAAGAAAAGTCATATAACGCAGTTGTAGTGGATTTAATAGGTGATTAGATCTCTGTAACTGTATGAGTTCAACGACATTACTGTGCTAGTAAGAATGTTGCATAGTTTGTATCTGATGGGCTTTTAGTGGCTACAGTTAGGGCCCGATCCCAGCTGCCATCTTGTATCCCAACTCCACTGGAACAGAGAGCCCCGAATTACAAAACAAAACAAAAGGCAAATAAACCGTCTGCAGCCAGTGGTACCATGGAGCCTGTGTGAGGGTTTCAGCATGCTGCTGCAGCCTACCTTGTGCCGGAGGGCCGCTACAGATGTAGCAGCTGTTGGCAGAGAAATGCACAGCCAGGGGAGGTAATAGCTTGTTCAGTGCGCTCCTTTTGCAGCCCCTGGCAATAGGTTTTCTGCAGCTTCCTGCAGAGCTGCAAATAGAAATGAAGGCTGTGTCTGACTTGCTGAACCCTGAAGAAGGTGATGGGTGGAAAAGAACTTGCAGGCTCTTTTTTGCAGAGTGAATTCCTGCCGCAGTATTTTATTCTGAGGTATTAAAATTTACATTAGCTGAGGTATAAAATTTACATTTCTGTTCACAAGTGTAAAAATGGAATTTTTGATCTAAATTCCATCACTTGGGCCATGTTAAATTGATTTTAATTTATATTACTACTGATTTTTTAATAGAAATCACAGCAAATTAATCTCTGACACAGTAACAGGGAAGCAAATTTAACAGAGATTGACTTGAACTAAGAAAGATCAGTAACTAGCACAAGAAGCAACCTGGTTTGCAGATCACACAAAACATGTAAAAAATATTGTTTGCTAAGGGATTCAGAAGCTTCAAGGAAAATCTACTTAGTTTTGAAAGAGAGAAGGAGAAAGGAAGAACTGCTTGAACTTTCTCATCACAGCTATTTCGTTCTTATTTCCTGTGGCTGGAGTAATAATAAACTGAATGCAGCCTTTTGTGACTGACCTTCTAATTCTTCTTTCAAAAATCCCTGTGCATGCATTTGCTCTATATTTATCTAAAATCCCTTTCTCTAAGATATTCAAAGCAGAAGCTCTGGTAAATACCTGAGAGCAGCATGCCCTCTTGGGATCCCCGCTCATGCAAATCCTAAAGGCTGTGTGTCTTTTGATTCAGCTCTTGAGCAGCACTTCATTTCATCAGGGACTATGAGGCACCCATTCAATAATTTCACAATTTTGAAAACTAGAATTTCTTTTACGCTAGTTTTGGTTTCTGTCATCAGAACTTACCTGACCAGAAAGAACAGTTAATCCTCTTTATACCTGTTTTTACAACAATTACTTCATTCAGAAACCTCCTCGTTTATCTATGAGCTAACAAATGGTGGTGAACTTCTGTCCCTCAGCAACATCTCAGCACCAGGACTGGGATTCAAGTAGTTCCCTCTGATCAGATTTTGAGTACAGTTTGGATAAAATGGACTTTTGACATTCAGCGTAATAGGATCATGTCAAACTTCCAGAATAGTAACTGAAATGTTCTAAAGTCAAAGCTGTCTTCTATGGGCTTTTGAAATCTCCACATCCGCGTGAATTATCAGTTCTGCCTCTACCCAGTACCCTGGACTTCTGGGGTAGACCCTTGCTTTCTTTTCACTGGATCAAACTCTGTGTGATATGAAAATGTAGGTGCAGCAGATTTGAATTTTCTGTCCTCTCCATTGGAAACGCATCCCTTTGGTCTCCTAGCTGAAAAACAAGTTTCCCGCTCTTGGGCATAATAACTGAAGGAACAGACACAAAGGCACAGAGAACAGAAATGTTGCTTCTGTGCATCATTATCTCCCAGTTACATTTTCTTTTCCGTAGTTTTTAGGAGTAGGAGAAGAAGGAAGATTCTGGGAAGTTTAGTGTAATTTGAATTTTGCAAATATATAGCCTAAAAATTAAACTTTGTAGATAAAAAAAAGTTACTATTTCTGCTTTATTGGGAATAGAATTATAGTGGCTGTATTTTCAGTCAAACTTTCAGTATTACACCCTGACTCTGTTATACATTCCCTTTTATGATGGGTATCTTACCCTCTAAACCCACCTGCAGCTCCATGAAGCTGTTATGAGCACGGGATGTGTGGGATACGACTTGGTTGAGATTGGGCTTGAAGCAGTCTTCAAACAGCCAGAGCCAGTAGTGGCTCTCATGCTTTGGAGCTGGTGTGGATCATGGCTGCCTTTGCTGGACTTGATGCCAAGGTGTGCACTGCTGCTCTGTGCATGTAAAAGATTCAAGACTCAGGAGGATTGTACTGAGCAGCATACAGTTGTGGTTGCACACTGTTGTCCCCAAGGCAAAAGATATTATAGCCTGGTCCTTGCTCTGTCTTCCCTTCCTAGAATCATGGAATGTGGGTTGTAAGGAACCTCAAGGATCATCAAGCTCCAGCCCACTGCTGTAGGCAGGGTTGCCAACCATCAGATCAAATATTGGATCAGATTGCCCAGGGTCCCATCTGACCTGGACTTAAAAACCTCTAGGAATGGGACAATTGCAATGTCTCTGGGCAACCTGTTTCAGCACGTCTCTGCTTTCTCAGTAAAAAACTTCCCCCTGACATCCAATCTAAATCTCCTTTCCTTTAGTTTAAAACCATCCTCCCTGGTCCTATCACTATCCACTGGTGTGAAAAGTTGATCCTCCTCATGTTTATGAACTCCATCCTTGGGCAGATACCAAAGCTAATGACTGCCTTTCTGATTCCTGCAGCATGGGGACGAGGAGAAGAGAGCAAGCACACAGGCTGATCCATAGCCATGCCTTATCCCAGCACTGGCACAAAGGTGTGGAGAGTGGCTGCAAGCAGGTAAGTTAGCCCAGCAAAATGCTGCCTGTGGTTACTCTTCTTTCTGTCAGGATTGTATAAAATCACCAGTATATAACCTGGAGGCACCTCCTGGAAGGGCATAGATTCCCTACAGATATGAAGCAGTGCTTTATAAGGAATTGGTATCATTATATGAACTGCTTTTCTGCCCCATCTAGCTCTTCTCTGTTTGGCTGCATAAGGAGAACATACTTATCTTCAGTACAAAAAGGCAGCGAGAAGGAATTCTTGTTAATGGCAAACTTATAAGCATGTTGCCAGCAAATTTGGGGCTGGAAGATGAGCTGGGGCAGAACTGTGGTGGGTTTCCCAGGTTAGAGCTGGGTTGCTACTGCTGACCAAGGTGACACCTTACTGCTCCCAGATCTGGGGTCATGGCCTCAGACTGAAAGAAGATGCGAGAGATACTTGCTATTCTCCTTCCCAAAGGAAACAAATGTAGTAATTTCAGCACTGAGAAACAGCACTGTAGGGAACTCTTCCATATTATTCTTAGATGAAACGACAAATGGCTCAGCAGAAAAGTGAGCATGGTAATACTCCTTTTTGTGAAGGTCTGTGCAAGCCAGCTCAATGTAAGCGATGTTTAGAATATGTGTTCAAATCTCCAGTCTGTTTAATGCATCTTTGCAACGCATACATTTAACAGAGAGGTATGGCATCCGAACACTTTTTCACCAGTGGGAAAACAAACCCACGTTAATACAAAGAAATGGTTGTACATCTTCAGCAAAATGATTGTACATCTTCAACAGTAGATGAGCTGGGAACACAAGGACAAACAAACATTAGCATGCAATTTATGATGCTACACTCGGGGACTGAAAGTATGAGCCATAGAGGTATCATACAACATTTCAGTATTATCATTTTATGATTTCTGTACCTTTCCCTTTCAACAGATGCTGCTGCTTATGTTCTCTATTGTGCCTTTAGTTGCCTATGATGAATAAGTGTGACAGTCGTTTAAATCACAGCTGCTACACTGCACAGTATTTAAGAAGGCCCTTGTGATTTTCATATTTCCTTGATAAAAATAAATTAATAAGGAAAGTTATTAAATGTTGAACACGGAAAAAAAAAAAAAAGGTCTTCCAGGAAGGGACTGTGAATATCTTTTGTTTGTTTGTTTGTTTGTTTGTTTTTCATTTGTGGAAGTTTCTGCAAAAAAAAATCTCTGCACAAAACCCAAAAACTGGATGATCTTTAAGGTTCTTTCCAACCCAAATCATTCTATGATTCTGTGATTCTAAATGTAAGCAGGTTGGGGTTTTTTATTTCTTCTACTTATTAAACCTGTTCTGGAATACTAATTCTGCCTCCAACTACTATGGAGTTTTTCAAATTACTTCTGTGTTTTATATGCTATATATATTTTATATCATGTTAGAAGAGTACTCTCTACAGAATATTTTATACCCCATTCTTAATTTGCATCTTAACTAATCGCTGTAGGAGTTTCACACTCTTTGTGTAAGGAGATGTATTTTCTTCTGTTTTTCTCTCCCCGTCCCCTGTGTAAATACATTTATAGAAGTACATCTAACAAAAGATATTTGCTGTAAAAACCACCCTGATGTGCAGCAGCAGTGAGACAATGCCCACTTGTGTAATCATTATCAATAATAACAGAAACTGAATCAAGTGATAGAAATATATTTGATTAAAATCAATTGTTTGGGGAGTGTATTTATTCCAGAGCCTTCAGGCAGAGAAGAATAGCAGTTTTCTAAATGTGATATTATGAGGGCAAGCAAATGAGTTATTACTTGTGTTACAACACAACAGAACTGAGCAAGAACAGCTCTATGAGAAGGAGTAAGCACTCATATCCAGCCATTTATTCTGTTACATTCATCACCACAGGCTGCATGTGTACACATCAGGTCAAGGTCAGCGTTCCTTGCTCGCATGAATCACTCTTGGCACTGATGGAAACCTCTGTATTGCAGTGTGCACTTGCTCTGACTTTGACCCATGTCAGGGCTGTAGCCCGCAGGTGGGGCAGAGGGCAAGAAGGGCAGCTGGCGGGCAGTCAGGCACTGCTCAAAAGGCACTGTTCATAAGGCAGTCAGTTTAACTTCAGGCTGGAGGACAAAACTATGGCTCCTTTACACTTTGGCTGGTGGAGTTGCAAAGCTGAAGAGGAGTTCTCTATTTTTTCAGTTTTTAATAGTAATTCAATTTGATTGAGTCTCCAAAGAATAAGTTTTAAGTTACAATACTGATGAATCATAGAATCATAAAATGGCTGGGGTAGAAAAAGACCTCAAAGATCATCTATTTTCAACCCCTCTGCCACAGGCAGGGTTGCTAACCACTAGACCAGGCTATCAGAATCCTTGTTGTTTTTCTCCATAAGCTTCTTATGGGGGGTTGGACTCGATGATCTCTGGAGATCCCTTCCAACCCCTACAATTCTGTGATTCTGTGATTCTTGACGTTAGGGGAGCAAAGATGAGATACAAGATGGAGGCTCTTCTCTTTCCAATGGAAGAATCAGTGCAAATCCCGCATGCCAGCTCTCTGCCTTTCAAAACACCCCTACAGACAGAGTGCCATGCCTCATGGGGTGATGATGACATATAGGTATGTGTGAATGAAAAATCAAGAAGTGGCTGTGGAATACCTTTCCGGAGCTGTAGCGGTAGCTGCAATAACTTGACACATGGGTGGATTTATTAGCAAGATTGCAAGCACGAGTTGCACGCATCATTTGTACTTATGGAACTCTGCACTGCACTGCCAGACCCTCGGGACTTAAAGCAGCATTCTAAACTACTTTTTCTTGCCTGTAAAATTGTTAATATTTCAACACTGTGCCCGCAACTTTTGAATCATTTCGACTGACTGTGAGAACAGAGAGCACTGTGCCCCCGCACCGCGCTCAGCCCCTTATGGAAGGGCCGCGAGTGCCTCGTCGGGGAGGGCGATTCCCTCCGGGATCCCCGGAACCGAGGAGTTGCACGCGGGGCGGGAGGCTGCCGCCTCATCCCACATAGGCGTGTAGGAGGTGGGAATCTCAGGTTGAGTTACTCATCGTGCCGGAGTCGAGAGAGTGCGGAACCAGTGATTTTGATGGCAGGAGGTAACGTACACATGTTTTTCGGGGAAGGTGCTGTGGGAGGACTGCCGGCGGGCAGAGCTGGGGAGGTGGGGGTGGGTTGCGATGAGCGCCGTCATTCCCAAAGCCTGGAAAGCCGCCCAGCCCCGGCAGCCCCGCCGCCCCCGCGGGCAGAGCGGGGTGGGGGGCGCGGGCGGCGCTGCCCGTAGCCGCTGCCTGACGCCGGGCCGGGGGAGGCGGGACCGCTGGCCCCACGCTGCTCCGGCCCCGCGCTGCTCCCGCCCCACTCCGCCGCGTCCCGCGCCCCATCTCCGCCCCGCGCTGTCCCCGCCGGGCCCGGCGCTGCGCGGGGCCGCCCCGCCCGCGGCATGGCCGGCGCGCTGGGCAGAGGGGCGGCGTGCTGGCGGATGCTGAGCGGCAGGAAGGAGAAGGCGCCGGGCGGCAAGCCCCGGCAGCAGCACGGTAAGAGTCTCTGCGGGGCGGGATGGGAGCGTCTGGCAGGGGACTCGCGCTGCCCGCTGGTGGCGTTCAGGACGGGGGCTGCTGCTCCTCCTGCCTCGCCGCGGTGCGAGGGCAGCGAGCGCCCCGAACTCCACGACGCGTCCCGGGCTCGGCGGGCGTTGGGGGGTGAGGAACGCTGTTTGCGTGCTTTTCCACATGTCGCTGTGACAGCGGCTTCTTTAATTGTTGCGGAAGGCGCTTTCAGGCTGCCAAGCGGTAGCGAACCTGGGAAGAGTCCTAGAAATCTTTCTTGGCATGCCCGTGTTTTGTCTCAATGCTCGGGAGGCGCTGTGAAAAACACTTGCCCTGCCTGCTCCCGTCCCCCGTCAGTTCCTCGGAGAGTGAGATGCTCATCGCCGGGTCTGAGCAGCACTTACTTAGCTCTCCCGACCCTGAAAGGCTGTGCCCGCCGTGCTGGCCGTTACACTCCCGCAGGAACTTCGTGCCCTTCGCGACGCGCATGGCTCCGCCAGGAGCGCTGCGGGGAGCGCGGAGTCCCGGCGCCTGGAGGTGACACCGTCGGAGCAGAGCTGGTGCGAAGACGAACCTCGGGGTGTCCGTGGGGGCTGCCCAGCGCCGGGAGTTGCCGAACTGCTCCTCTTTCAAAAAGAAACAGTCTAAAAGTCCGAGCAGAGGTTTTGTCGGTGGGTATCACCAGAACTCTGAAGGAAATGACTGTGCAGGAGAGGAGGTGCTATCCAGCTAGGGAATAAAAATAGCGGCCTGTGGTTGTAAATCTTTATGCTGCTCTTTCTGAACGTAGTGGGGAATCACAAAAAGAAAAGAGTTGGTGACACCTCTGAGAGCAGTTATTGTGGGTACTGCAGAGACCAAAACGTGATGTCCTGGAGCCAGCAGGAGCTCTGGCACTGAGCTGGGGAGAGCCAGAGTGCACCCTGCAAACAGAGCGGTGCAGGCATTAGGCCAAATGGAAACTCTTCCTACCAGAAACTTTGTCCTCATAGCTAAGTTACAGCGGATGGTGTGCTGTCCTGATGAGAACATCAAAGTAGCTGTACTGTAAATGAGTTCAGTTGGGGAGTTTTGTAAGTCAGTTCTGATTCAGAGTAACAGAAAGGTGCAGTGTGCTTTAGTCTGTTGCTTTGTTAAAGTGTTTTTGTAAAGTATCATAAATTCTCATTGAAGTAATTACTGTAACACCATGGAATGCAAAATGACTCTGAAGCACGTGTATTTTGCATCCTAGTTATTTTTGGAAAGTATTTAAGGATAATTGCTCTTTCTGCTGTGCTATCTTTGCAAGGTAGACTTTTTTGAAGGATCATTTGCTATCTGTTAAGAGCTGCAGATGTAAGGTAGAAACAAAACTAGCCTGTATGTCCTTACTGCTGACTGTGTGTACTGCAGTGAGATCTTTTGGAGAAGTGAAGGCAGGGAAGTGAAGTATTACTTT